ATCCGTAAGAACTACTTCACAGTCAGGGCGGCTAGGATCTGGAACCAACTTCCAAGGGAAGTGGTGCTGGCTTTTACCCTTGGGGTGTTTAAGAGGAGGCTTGATGCCTACCTGGCGGAAGTCATTTGAGCCCAGTTTTTTCTCCTGCCCAGGCAGGGGGTTGGACTTGAAGATCTACTAGGTCCCTTCGGACCCAACTTCTATGATTCTATCATACCACCAGCCCACCTCTGAGCATCATGAGTGTGTCACACTGAACTGTTCTCTTCCAAACTCTGCACTATTTTTGTTGATTTTTTTTTTTTTTGCTTCATTTCCCTAACTCTGGGGTGCCTTGAGACCCTTTCAAGGATGCCATAAGGTGCCCACATAATGTTAGCAGTTAGGTTTACAAACATGATTCACATGATAAACCTGGAGGTTTCAAACAGAAATCCATAGCTGCAGACTTTTGGAGTTCTTTGCAACAGAAAAACTGCTCTATAATTTTTCTGTAGGCAAAAACAAGAGTGAAAATGAAGAGCTGGCATTTTCCAAGGGCCACCTCCAATCTGTCTAGGGTTGCCTCAAATCTAAAAAGACTGAGACCCCCTGCCCTACAAGTTTGCACTATCCGATACTTAACAAATATTACTGATAAAGTTTTAATGATTTTATAAAATTACATATGCTGTACACATAAGAAAATGCACTTCCACAAAATCAGTGAACTATGCCTAAAAAGGACATGCTTAGTACTCGTTTTCAACTGGTCAGCTCACTGTAGCAGCACAAGGGTGGATATGAAAGCAGTTTCAAGATATGTGAAAGCCTGCCACAAAGGAGATGGACAAACATGGTTTTCCCTTGCCACAGATCACAGGACAAGTGGCCGTGGGTTTCAAGGGACATTAGGATCAAATTTCAGAAAAAACTTTCAATTGTCAAACCAACAGAGAATGGAGTCGTCTCCCTGGGAGGCTGCATGAAGAGACTGGGTGGGCATCTCTCTGGGATAGGTTAGAACAGGAGTTAGCAATTTATGGCCCAGGGGCTGGCTCCAGCCTGCGGAGCGGTTTGATCCAACCTGTGAGGCTGGCGGCTCAGCAGCACGGCAGCAGGGAGAAGCAGCGGTGGTAGCACTGC